TCGTTCTGCTGAATGGAAACACATTACAAGCAGAAATCCAATTCTATTCTGTAAGTCCGCCATCACATCTGTGCGCTGCAGATGAAAGAGGAAAAATTATATGAGCCCATTTACACTTAGTCCTCATGCACACTGGACATTTTTACAGCTGCTGTTTTTGGCTTTTTTTCTACAGCCAGTAAACCCCCAGCATGTTATCCTATGTGCCCATACACACATAGACTGTAATCAACGTTTTTTGGCTGAAAAAAAACCCAGGATTAGTGTGTTTCTAGAGGAGATTTTTTTAGCTGTAAAAACGCAGTAAAATACCACAAACTGACATTTTTGAACATTTTGTGGTTAAACACGGAATAACACTTAAAAAGGAAAATGCGGTAAAATGCCGCAAACCGGCATTTTTGGCAAAAAGCATGAATGCGGGGAAACGCGGCTAAGCGCTGATAAAAAAAAAAGCTGAAAACTGGTGTTTTTACCGTGACTTTACACAGCTAACGTTGCCAGTGTTATCGAAATTCCCGTGTGCATGAGGACTTAGATGTGTGCTACCATGAAGTGCGAATGCAGCCTAAATGAACATATAGAGCATTCAGTTACCAGGAAGGTCAGGCAATAGTTAATGCAATGGCTGTCACAGTAGCATCTGGAGTAAGGGAGGTCACAGATGGCAATTAAAACCCAACAGAAAATCAAACCTGCTTCCAAAGTTATTAAAAAAAAAAAAAAAAAAATCCTAACCTTTTGATAAATGGGAAAAAAAAAAAAAATGATTGCTATAATTGTCCCTCTATCTCTGGAGCTGTCCCCTGCAGATTCCCCGCTCTATCCTACACCAGGCTTATTGCTCAGCATCATTCAGTCCACTTCCTATGAAACCAGAGGGTCAATGACTACTGGGGGCATATAAGATCTCTCCGACTACTGGGGGCATATAAGATCTCTCCGACTACTGGGGGCATATAAGATCTCTCCGACTACTGGGGGCATATAAGATCTCTCCGACTACTGGGGGCATATAAGATCTCTCCGACTACTGGGGGCATATAAGATCTTGTCACCATGGGCTCACAAGAAAATGCTGTAGAGTGGTAGTGCTATGTCATCATGTTTCTTCCCTCCAGCATTCCGCTTCTGCCAACAGCCAGAGATCTATGATGTCCAATGCTTGGACCAAAATTGGTGGTGGGGATACTCAGAATGGTGGGCACCAAAAAAAGAAGCCTTTTAGGATGGTTGTATAGGAGCGGTCTGTGCTGGTTTGTTCTTTCATATGCATCCTCCAGGACTTTCCTCATAAGTCAGCAAGAGCAGCTATCTTATTTTTTCCTACTTGACAGACTGCGTGCTTGTTCCAGGTCGGTGGCTACAGAGGTATAAAAGCCAGGATCTGGGAATCCTGTAATATTGACTTGTGTATTTCTATATTCACAGGTTTCTTGTAACCCAATTGTCAGCACAACCGTCTGATACGGGAAACAAGGGAGGCATATCTGTTCCGTTTTTCTGCATTGGTGTTATTTATAAGTCAAGCAATGACGAGACAGCCAACTAATCCTGTATCACATGTAGCTGAATTATGTTCGGTAGAAATCAAATTTGGCAGGTAGACGTTTTGTCTGGATTAGTAATCCTAAAGTCATTCTGACTGCGTCCTCTGCAAAGGTTTATTCGGGATTAGTAGCAGTCTATATTCTCTTCACCTTCCAATCTGCTTTCCACCACTTTTTTCATTTTATTTGGGTTATTGCAAGCCAATCAAATAAAAAAAAAAAAAAATAATTCAGACTGGTTTGCATGAAAACTGATCTACTCTGACTTTAGAAGTCTGTGGCGTATCCTGTTTTGTTTTTGCCTACATAAACTCAGGCTTTCTTCTCTCCAGCTACGTATTTTACCTATGTAAATGGCTACGTCAGATATTTGTCCTCTTCCATCCACTCCACGGATCCCGTGACTAAGCATGCTAGTGTGTTCTGTTTGATGCTAGCTGTTATATCACAGAAAGGAAGCTGGAGATGTTGGACAAACATTCTCCTGCTACATTCCTCTGCTTGTGCTGAATGCCAGCCATTCTGCAGAATGATGCACAGCAATAATGGCAAAACAAATGTGCCGTCTACTGTATTTTGTCATGACCATAATTTGTGACATTAGATAAAATGTAACAGAATATAGCCAGGGTTTTGAAATTGAGCCATTGCACCTTTTTGGAAGTACAAGTCAAAAATTGCTCTCAATGTGTGATCAGTGCAAAGTGGTAATTAGGTTGGATGTGACTTCCACTCTTCATTCACTGACAGCTGTGTCCCCTGGGGCAAAAACCAGAGTTCTGGGAGATAAATGAAGAGTGACTCGGCAGACTGCTAAATCCTATATGGACTAGAATCCCTGCATTCTGAATTGTGTGCATTAGCCATACCTGTGATGGCAGATGTTTCCTTTTTCTACTCATAGATGGGAGAAGCAAGTGCTTCCCAAAAATGACCTCTTTCTAGCTTGGTGACTGATAATTGGGCCATAAAGAAGCTTGTTAATGAGCACCTCTAATGTCTGCATTTGTAAGAAGGTTGCTGTTAGTCCTAGCAACGTGCAGCTCATTGGAGGATGGTCATACTACACCTTATCCTGGTGAGACCTCTTTCTTCTCATGGCCTTCAAAAGGGTCATCAAGAAGAACCTTCTCCCTGCTAGATTCTTCTTTTCATTCTCTAGTTGCCACTTTTTAGCATGACTGAATCTGGCTGCATTTAGACAGTTTTATTTTGTTAAAGGATAATTTCACCTTTAAAAAAAATAGTAATAAATGGGCATTTATTTATTTTTACTCTAGATCCTGTACAGCATTACATTTTTGATCCATAGATCACGGGTGCAATGTCAGCCTTTTGCAGGCACTGTCTGCCTGTACCTCCCATACAAGCAGGAAGTTACTGTAGTCCAGAAAGATTGATGGACTACGAGAGCGCTCACCAGTGCCATCACAGTCCATTGGGGGCTACAAGTTGTCGGGGGCAAACACTAATGGTACTTGTAGGCATTTATTCACAGAACTCAATGAACGAATGTGGGCAATGCCCTACCCAGCCACGCTGTTCAGATTGTGACAGCGGATGGGGGGGAAAGGATCCCCAGCTTGCTGTCACAAGGTGGCTGCAGATCTGGGAGAGAGGAGGCAGATGCTTAACACATTACATGTTACACCCTACATGTGGGGTGTAACATGTTGAGAAAGGTGAATTTATCCTTTAAATAGACCCAACGTTCATTTTTGATAATATGCCTAGTAATTATTGATGTGCACCCATGACGCCTGTCTGCTGCTCGCCGAACAAGCTAACCCCACCTCTTTGTCATTCAGACGTTATGGGTGACAGGCTTATATCCACTAGCCTATTATCAGATTACATGCTAATTCTGTTCTATATGTTTGATCATCCTGCCCCAGTCTAGTGCATATTAGTCTGAGCTGCTGGATGTGCTCCTTCTAGCTTGGCCATCAAACCAGTTTTATTCACCAGATTGGAAGAAATGCAGCGACTACCCAATAGTAAGTTGGGATAACAATTATGTTGCTCTCATTTTTAACACCGTGTTGTATGGGGGAAAAAAACATACTTTGTCACAGGGGCATTACTTTCTAGACCATTCCTGGACTTGGTCATTTGTCTAGGAAATGTGTAAAGGAGTCGCAACACATCTCTTTGGGTTGGAATTGAAGGTTTGGCTTGTGGTTGTTTAGGGCTGGGTGATTTCTAGAGATATTTATGGTCTGCACTTGCTACTTTTATGTGCCTGGGGCTACTACTGGGATACTTTGGGAAGAGTATTTAATTGTAATTGGCTGGATAGATCTAATTAACACACAAAAAAGGAAGAGGGAAAAGTCATATCAGTGGGATTTCTTTGTTTTCAGTCCTAATGTTCTGTGTTCCTTAGATAAGAGAAACTTAACAGTAAAGAAACTTATTTAGTTACCAAGAAGATCTCCATTGCCCTTCAGCTTGGGTTCACATATATGCGCACCGAATGCCTGTGCAAATCGCATGCGATTTATGTGCGGTGCAATTGGAGCCATACATTTTGTATGGCTTTAATCGCTTCGCACCTGCACCAAAAAGGCGCAGGACCCTTTTTTGGGTTCGCACTAGAATCGGATCGCATGGGAATTCACACCTATGTGATCTGATTCTGCACATCGCACAGCGTTTTGCGGTCTGCTTTCGGGGGGTGTGTTAACATACACACCTGCAGCGGTTCGCATGAACGGGGTGTGAGTCTGATGCGGTGCGGAATTCGCACAGAAAACACTGCGAATTCCGCACCACATTAGTGTGAACCAGGGCTCAAAAGGCTATGGTTTTGTTTTTTGTTTTTTTTGTAATACATAACTTGTACTAGATGTCTTTTTTTTTTATCTGCTTTGTGAGTAAATTGCAAAATGATACTTTTTATATTTCTTTGTAGCAACACGCATGTACGTACGTACGTACGTACGTACATAACTGTCACATAATTACGAACCAAACTAGAATTTAGTAACATGTCTTAATGAAAACCAGTGACTCAAGGAAAAGAAGTGGGATATAGAAGAATCACATGAGCTCTGAAGTTGCGAACTATGTCATTAAGAGACATCAGTAGTAGGAATGGTTTCCCTGTACACTACTTGTTTCTGATAACTCTTCTTTTGTTAGTGTTAATCAAATGCGCCAGGAATGTTGATTGGTGCCAACTTCCTGGCATAGAATAGATATGTGCTCTCTGGGATAAACCAATTATCTGTCCCAATAGCTATGTCAATAGTTCTCACATTTCTTTATCCTGAGGAGAGTTTAGTCAGCTGATTCCCAAACCCCGTGGAGCAGCTCATTGTCTTCTTGTGTAGTTGGCAGCAATCAGGTTTATCACCATGGGCTTCATGTTTGTACATTATCACTCTGTTATTGTAAATATACATTTATATGACATGAAGCTAACGGATGTTTTTCTAATTCTGTTTCAGTTGGTGGACCTCAGTTTGCCAACTCCCCAACTGTGATTGTAATGGTTGGACTACCAGCCCGCGGAAAGACTTACATATCCAAGAAGCTGACGCGTTACCTCAACTGGAGCGGAGTACCTACAAAAGGTGAGCTGCATTTTCCTCAATATATCTTCCTAACATCTTCCCCTGCTTCTTCCATCCAAGGGAAAGATTCATCCACTCACCTATGGCAATGCTAGTCGTTCCTTATTCTCTACATTGCATCTTTAGGGTGGTTGTTTGAATGTAATTGCACAAGGATTGGTTACTTGCAGTTAGGTCCTGAAGTGCAAACTGACTGCATCCAGGGGACACACAGTGATTCCTAACTGCATGTAATTGCTCCATGTGTGGACATTGTTAGCCTGTCATTGATTTGTACATATTTCTTGTCTGGTTGATTGAAAAACCTGGCTGTTTGTGGATCAGAAATCCACTGACCTGCAGATTGAACTACCCTAAGCAGGCATGTGCATAACCTTTTGATATGATGCGATTTTCTTCCTGCAACTACAGTTTGCAGGAAAGAAAATCGCTCTATTACCATCTGCACAGTGCTGATGGGGGGGGGGGGGGGGGAAATTCCTCTGGCAGAGGTATTGTGGTGTTCCGCCATGGGAATCTGTCCCTGGTGGGAGAACATGATTATTGCTAGTGGCTGTAGCTGCTGGCAATAATCGCATGTAAAATTCGACATGCTTGTTAATCGATGGACTGACTTGGGTACAATCAGCCTGCCTGTACATGGATCAACTCTCAGCCGGTCCCTGCTGAACTGGTCAAGATTTGACCCATTTATGGGTGGCTTAGGACAAAACAGCCTTGTGTTTTTTTTTTTTTTTTTTTTCCTTCCCAAGCTTTGTTCCAGAATGCAGTGCTTACGAAATTATTAGCCTCTAGTGCTTTTGAATAGCTTCTTATGTAAATACATATTTTTGCAATTCTAATACAGTTCACTGCTGCCATTTTATGACACAGAAATAAACTTTTGCTTTGCCAATGCAAGGCAAAGGAACAGATTTACTGTAGCTCCCACTCCCGTAGCAGCACACACTGACCCCCTACTCACGCACCACCTCTGCTCTGTTTAGCCTGTTTAGCCGATATTGGAGCAGCCACTCTATGTAGCCGATTGGAGCAGCCACTCTATGTAGCCGATTGGAGCAGCCACTCTATGTGAGCTAGGAGTTGCTAAGGTTGTAGACTACACAGGGGTATGAACTTTTATAAAAGTGTTTGGTACTTGGGCACATGGGTCATGGGTAAGTTCTTTGCTGCTGACAGATGAATGCAGCGACAGGGGAGAGAACAAAGGATGAGCAGCTGGGAAAGGGGGACTAATGTATACCTTTTGCTGCACCCTGCATGAGCAAAGTATAGGTTAACAAAAGTTATGAGAATTCTTGATCGCAAAGTTTTTTTTTTTTTTTATTGAGTGTTTTTCCGTTTCTAAATAAGTTGTTGGGGACTTTTAAAAACAACTGTCCTATATGTTTTTTGTGTCATTTCCATCTCTTCCCCATTGACTTTCTTCCCCATTGACTACTTCTTTTTTTTTTTTTTTTTTTTTAATTCTTGCTTTATAAAAATGACAGCAATCTGAATTTGAATTATAACTTTTTCTGCACTGAATCTATTAACCATGCATACCAACTTCTTTTGATTTTGCAGTATTCAATGTTGGGGAGTACAGACGTGAAGCTGTAAAAGAATTTAGTTCTTATGACTTTTTCCGCGCTGACAACCAAGAAGCCATGAAAGTCAGAAGGTTGGTGTACTCCTTTTATAGCTTGGTGCTTAGAAATTGTTACAGTCCATCTGTGGCCTCTGACCCTTAAACAAACAAAAAAAAAAAAAGCTATTGCACTCATACAGATCAGTCCTCTATGCTGTTTTACACTGTCTGGCTAGAAGGATATGATATGTAAGTAGTAAGGGTGTAAAGCCTGAGGAAATACTTTCTTCCTACCTGCTTTAGGCCAGAGTAATGTTATTCTGTCTGCTTGTTTATAGGAATATGTTAAGAGATTGTCCTTGGGCATTGCTTGCTTTTTTTCCTTTTTTTTTTTTTTTTTATTTTTTTTTAAATGTTTTTTTTTTTTTTTTTTTTTTTCTCAGACAATGTGCCTTAGCTGCTCTCGTAGATGTGAAATGCTACCTGAAAGAGGAAGGTGGACAGATTGCCGTAAGTTCTGGTTCTCTTTGTTCTTTCTCTCTGTGTAGCTGCTTTGAAATGGCACGTAACTAAATTTTGTTTTGTGTCTTCCAGGTCTTTGATGCCACAAATACAACCAGAGAAAGAAGATCACTGATTATTGATTTTGCCAAAGAGAATGACTTTAAGGTTAGTTGACAGAAATGGAACATAGTGGTTTGGAACATAGAGCATTGTCATATTATATATATATATATATATATATATATATATATTAAAATAAAATTTTTTTTTTTTTTTTTTTTTTTTTTTTTTTTTAAAGATGCAATAATTATTGCACTAGTCAAGTTCTCTGTTTTGCTGTGTTTGTCCTGTTTTGTGGGGTTTGTCTTTACTTCCTGTTCCTAAAACACAACAGGAAGTAAGTGGAAATGGGTGGGGAAGTGTATATCCACTCCTAAAACAGGTCATAAATGATATAATCCGCCCAAACCCCCCCGAACACACACTTTTTCCCCAATGTTGTTGTGTTCTCTGGGAGCATTCCCTGCCAGTAGAACACAATTACTGCTGGCTGATATAGCCCCCCAGCAGTAATTGCATGCAAAAACTCATACAGGCTGGTTGTACTGAAGTGGATCGATGGATCAACTTCAGTATAATCAGCCTGCCCATAAATCTCTGTTCTCAGCTGAACTGGCCGAGATTTGATCCGTCTATGGCCGGCTGTAAACAGATGTCATGAGAACTGGTATATCCCACTACCCCTGTTCTGATTTTCATCTCTAAAAGTTTGTCTTTCCCAACTTTTGCTGTCTCCGTGACAGTGGTCACCGGAACAGATTGTGTGAATCTTCACAGTGATGATGGAAATAAAAACTAAAGATAGGTTGCAACTCTTCCACATACAAATTTCCATAGATACACTTTCAGTTGTTAAAGCGAAAGTAAACCTCGAGAGCAGATTCAAAATTTTGGACCCCATGAGGTTTTTGCCCTTTTGCGCAACTGCACAGCATTTGCACATTGACAGACCTTCCTTGCAAAGTGATTCCTTCAAGCACTGCCCTCAGTCACCTCTATTTATTTTTTTTTTTTATTTTTTCCCTGACTTGTTGGTTCCAAGTCATCGGCCTCTTGATTGGCCAGGTCTGGATGACATCTCATGCGCACAGGAGATTCTTCATCCCTGCATAAAACTGTGCCGAGTTTACACTATCCTGTGACTTGGTGTACACTAACAGAAAAAAAAGCTGACAGGCAGGAGGAAGTGATTGTAACCGAAGAGACAGCGATCTACATGCCAGCACTTAAAGCAGTAGTAAACTTGAGCAGAAAAAAAAAAATCTTGGCACTGCTTCAGGTTTATGCCATAATATGCTACTATGCATAATATACTAGCACAGTATGACAGACTTGCCTTACAGTGACGTCACTCCCACTTAGGTGCCCAGGAGCAATAGTTGTGGCGCGACTTACTATGTAATCATGAATGCAGAGTGTCACTGTGCATGTGCGGTTGACGTCCTCTGCCATTGCTGTTGCGAATATCTCCTAAATGGTGCACATTTTGAGATATTCATCGTATTTACAGATTAGCTTGATTGTAAGCTTACCTATAGGTACAAGTGCACTCACAGGGTTAATTACCACTTAAAAAAAAACAAAAAAAAAAAACGAATTGCCAAGCAGTAAGTTTTTTTTGCCTTTTTTATTTTTCAGGTGTTCTTTATTGAATCTGTCTGTGATGATCCATCAGTTGTTGCCAGCAATGTTTTGGTAAGTATATCAAATTAATATTTACCACAAAAGCTAGCCGTTTCCTTTACAGGTGCTATTAAATTGTGTTGGGGATTATTATAATTGTAATGCTTTGTCACAATTGTAGGAAGTTAAACTGTCCAGCCCAGACTACAAAGGATGTTCATCAAAAGCAGCACTCGATGACTTTATGAAGAGAATAAACTGCTACAAGAACATGTATGAACCTCTTGATCCAGATGATCATGACAGGTAATGTCTGAATTTTATTGTCTGCTTTTATTAGCCGAGGCACAAAAATACAATACTACTTAGTGTTCTAAAAATAACTCCACCTACAAACTGTGTAGAAGATACCTTCATCATTGAGTTTACCACACTGATTTATAAGAACAACTTCAAGTAGCATTTGCCACTTTGATTCATGACAACCTATGAACTGTAAAGTAGAAATATCCCTTGTAATATTTTCCCACAATAAGGAAAATGGACGACTTTGCTTATTAAATAATGCAAGATGCAAAGTGCATCAGCCCATAGCGACTAGTCTGTATCCACTATATTGAATCCAGAGTAGTGCAAGACAGATTCTAATGAGTTGTCGTAGGTAGTAAACTTAGTTCTGTAATACTGAATACCGCAGTAGGGTTATTACATTACATTCCGTTTTTGTTTTCTCTTACAGGGATCTCTCTATGATCATTGTCATTGATGTTGGTCGAAGATTTTTAGTGAATAGAGTTCAGGATCATATCCAGAGCAAGATTGTGTATTATCTAATGAACATTCATGTCCAACCTCGCTGCATCTATTTGTGCCGAGCCGGTGAAAGTGAGAGCAACATCAAAGGAAAAATTGGTGGAGACTCTGGGTTGTCCCAGCGAGGCAAAAAGGTAAATATTAGAGCTAGTCATCACAAATAAAATGTGAATTCCATGAAAATGCATACCTGGTGGTTGTAATAGTTTTTTTTTTTTTTTCTTCTCAGTTTTCTATTGCCCTCAAGAAATATATTGAGGATCAGAACTTAAAGGAGCTTAAAGTGTGGACCAGTCAATTGAAGAGAACCATCCAGACTGCAGAAGCTTTGAAAGTGCCTTATGAGCAGTGGAAGGCTTTAAATGAACTGGATTCAGTAAGTAGACCATCTGCATGTCTACATCTACAATGTCTCCCCCCCCCCCCTAATAATTACCTTGTAAATATGACACAGTAAAATTTGCATAATTACATGCAGCTCTGTTCATTCTGCACCTGGAAGTGGGTTACGCTGAGTGGGCATTGGGGTTTTTTTCAACCATATCAAAAGTTAAGTGATTTAAAAGTTCAATTGCTAAAAATATTTGAAATCCAGGTCCTTCTATGTTTGTTTTTTAATGCTTAATATACAACACCCAATAAGGGGTTTTGTTCTGTTGTCCATGGAAATGGATTCGTTAAGCAGTCTCCTTTATCAAAATCTCTGACAAAATTTGTCTGCTCCAAAGCTACAGAAATAAATCTGACTTCCAAACTGTTAATTTTACACTGTAGAAGAAAATCAAAATATTTGCAGACAAATTATCATTCTCCTTTCGGATATGTTGACCAGTGAGCCCCCTGCATCCTTGTAGTGGTTGTGGTAACTCCTACAGTTTTGGGTTGTCATGATATCTTACATTTTAACTAAGTTATTTGCATACCTTTTTAGTCAAGGCACACACTTGGGTAGGACAATGTGATTCATGATTTTATGGTTTCCTTTGTAAATGATACTGAATTTAATCCTGTTTACAGGGAGTGTGTGAAGATAAGACCTATGATGAAATCAAAGAGCAGTTTCCTGAGGAATATGCACTACGTGCACAAGATAAATACTATTATCGCTACCCATCAGGAGAGGTGAGTTTTGTGTGGGTGTGTTTATATTATTTTTTGGGGAAGCCACTTTTTTGTGTGTGTACAGTGCATCCTAATAAGTATTATTTTATGTTAAAAAAACAAAAAAACAAAACACTTCTACATAAGCACTGCCTTTGCCACTCAAAATTGAGCTTTGGTGAATCCTGTTCCCACTGATCACCCTTGAGATGTTTCCACAACTTGATTGGAGTCCACCTGTGGGAAATTCAGTGGATTGGACATGATTAGGAAAGGCATAAACCTATCTATATAAAGTCCCACAGTTGACAGTGCATGTCAGAGCACAAACCAAGCCATGGTGCTAAAGGTGCTTCAGCAAAGTATGGAGGAAAGGCTGTGATACTAATGTACATGTGTAATATTTTTTTTTTTTTTTTTAATTTCTTTATTTTTACTAAATTGCAAAGATTTCAAAACAAACTGATTTCACGTTGTCATTATGGGGTAATGTTTGTAGAATGTTGAGGAAAAAAATGAATTTAATCCTTTTTGGAATAGGGCTGTAACATAACAAAATGTGGCAAAAGTTAAGGTGTGTGTGTGTGTGTGTTAATGATTCATAATGGAATCACAATACAGGACTAGTAAACTTAATTTTTGCTTTATATTTTTTTTTTTTAGTCTTATCAAGATCTTGTCCAGCGCCTGGAACCTGTCATAATGGAACTTGAGCGACAGGGAAATATCCTAGTTATTTGTCATCAGGCCATTATGAGATGCCTTCTGTCTTATTTTCTGGATAAATCTGCAGGTATTAGAGCATCTATTTTTAGCTATATTAACATTAAACACTGGCTGTATTACACATTGCAATTACCACTTTTTATATATATATATATATATATATATATATATATATATATATATATTTAATTTCTTTTGCCTTTCAATTTTTTCCCACAGATGAAATGCCATATCTCAAATGTCCGCTGCATACGCTGCTTAAACTGACTCCATATGCCTATGGTAAGTGTTTTTTTATTTTTATTAATTTAGTTGTGAGTATAGTTTCTTTGTAAGTTCTGATTCACACGTGTGGTACAGATTGAAGATCAGGGTTCACAGCTAATTGACACAGTAGCTGTTCACTGGTTCAGGTCAGGGTTACATCAGGTTCAGGATAGGATCAGCTCAGGATTTATCCTGTTGACACGTCAGGTTTAGAAATGGTTCCGATAGAAGTCAATAGCTTGTAATCCACATCTGAACCGGACATCACTGCTCAGAAATTGTACAGGACTTTTTTTTTTTTTTTAAACCGCACTGGACATACAGTCATGGCCGAAATTGTTGGCACCCTTGATATTTTTCCTGAAAATCAAGTATTTCACACAAAAAAGGTATTGCATTAACACATGTTTTGCTATACACATGTTTATTCCCTTTGTATGTATTGGAACAAATATAAAACAGAGGCAGAAAAGCAAATATGACATAATGTCACACAAAACCCCAAAAATGGGCTGGACAAAAGTATTGGCACCCTTAACTTAATATTTGGTTGCACACCCTTTGGAAAACATAACTGAAATCAGTCGCTTCCTATAACCATCAATAAGCTTCTGACACCTCTCACCCGGAATTTTGGACCACTCTTCCTTTGCAAACAGCTCCAGGTCTCTCTTATTGGAAGGACACCTTTTCCCAACAGCAATTTTAAGATCTCTCCACAGGTGTTCAATGGGATTTAGATCTGGGCTCATTGCTGGCCACTTCAGAACTCTCCAGCGCTTCTTTGCCATCCATTTCTGAGTGCTTTTTGACGTATGTTTGGGGTCATTGTCCTGCTGGAAGACCCAGGATCTTGGACGCAAACCCAGCTTTCTGACACTGGGCCCTACAGTGCGACCCAAAATCCTTTGGTAATCCTCAGATTTCATGATGCCTTGCACACAGTCAAGGCACCCAGTGCCAGAGGCAGCAAAACAACCCCAAAACATCATTGAACCTCCACCATATTTTACCGTAGGTACTGTGTTTTGTTCTTTGTAGGCCTCATTCCGTTTTCGGTAAACAGTAGAATGATGTGCTTTACCGAAAAGCTCTATCTTGGTCTCATCTGTCCACAAGACGTTTTCCCAGAAGGCTTTTGGCTTACTCAAGTACATTTTGGCAAACTGTAGTCTTGCTTTTTTATGTCTCTGTGTCAGCAGTGGGGTCCTCCTGGGTCTCCTGCCATAGCGTTTCATTTCATTTAAATGTCGACGGATAGTTCGCGCTGACACTGATGCTCCCTGAGCCTGCAGGACAGCTTGAATGTCTTTGGAACATGTTTGGGGCTGCTTATCCACCATCCGGACTATTCTGCGTTGCAATCTTTCATCAATTTTCCTCATCCGTCCACGACCAGGGAGATTAGCTACAGTGCCATGGGTTGCAAACTTCTTGATAATGTTGCGCACTGTGGACAAAGGCAAATCTAGTTCTCTGGAGATGGACTTGTAACCTTGAGATTGTTGATATTTTGCCACAATTTTGGTTCTCAGGTCCTCAGACAGTTCTCGTCTCCTCTTTCTGTTGTCCATGCTTAGTGTGGCACAGACAGACACACAATGCAAAGGTTAAGTGAACGTCTCTCCTTTTTATCTGCTTTCAGGTGTGATTTCTATATTGCCCACACCTGTTACTTGCCCCAGGTGAGTTTACAGGAGCATCACATGCTTGTAACATTCTTATTTATCCGCAGTTGTGAAAGGGTGCCAATACTTTTGTCCAGCCCATTTTTGGAGGTTTGTGTGACATTATGTCGAATTTGCTTTCTTTCCTCCCTTTTTTTGTTTTGTCCCAATACACACAAAGGGAATAAACATGTGTATAGCAAAACATGTGTTAATGCAATACGTTTCGTGAGAAATACATGATTTCCTGGAGAAATATCAAGGGTGCCAACAATTTCGGCCATGACTGTATGTGAACAGGCACCATAGGAAGCATAGTTATTTGAAATGTCATGCCGATTTGGATGCGTTTCAAACCACATCCAATTTGCATATATTTGAACAGGCACTCAGTCTTGCTAATTGTAATAAAGGCTTATTTGTACCAGTCCTTTGATGTACTAATGAACATGATACTAAAAAATCCAAACTGATGTGCATGCAGTAAGTCAGTACATTCAGGTCACTTTCAGAACTGAGAAACTGCACACACCTGCTTCTATCTCACAGTTGTTTGTTTGCGTTTTAGGCTGTCATGTGGAGCCGGTCACATTTAGCGTGGATGCAGTTAACACTCACTTTGAAAGACCAGAAGTAAGTAATGTATTTTTTTGGACTTTTTTTTTTTTTTTTTTTTTTTTTTTTTTTATTGGGTACCCCTGATGAAAAATGAAATCCTAAATTATGCAACAGATGCTCCTCCAGTACACAATTAGGCTTTGTTTACACAGGCTTCATCTGGTATAAAAGTAGTGTGTCCAGTAAGCATTTTGTAAAGTGTTTGGCAAACGTCAGGCAGCTTTGTTTAAGCCTTCTAAAGAACACTTCAGTGGCATTTTGGGAATATTAAACACAGATGTTAATAGGAATGTTGTCACTTTAAACACCCTGCTAGCAGGTTTTCAACAAGATTTAAGTAGTGCAAAAGATTCCGGAAACCTGCAAGCTGCTTATTTTAAAGTGACAATTGTCACTTTAAAATTTTCATTTCTTAAAACTTTATTTCCAAACTGATTGGTACTTTAAGGGTCTATGTACTCAGGCTTAAAAAAAAAACTGCTTCTAGAGGAGTTTAGAGTTTTTGCCTGCAGAAACCGCTCCATATTATCCTGTGTGTCCATGCACATTGAGGCATTTTAGAGGCATATTCTAAGCTCTATGTTTAGAGGCAGAAAAACAAAACCCTTCTGTCTTGTTTGAGAGCAGTTTTCTGACAGAAAAAAATGGCAAGTGCTCCCTAACACCTGTACAAACACACTATATGAGTGTTTGGGCTTTATAAAAAAAAAAAAAAAAAAGCCAGCAGTTCTTTTGGCAGTAAGTGTGCATGGACCCTAAAACCCCTGAATAAGCTTGCCTTAAGCTCTGTAAATGCTTTGTAAAAGCTTGCTGTATACACTGTTCTTAGAAAAGCGGAAGACTGTGAGAACTGGGTTTTTTGTAGGGTGTGTTTTCTTCTATAAAAAAAAAAAAAAAAAAAGTTCTCATAGGAAGTACCAGGCAGTATGCTGTAGAATCTAGTGCTGTGGAGAAATGAATGGCAATAGATGGGCCAGATCTTTTAGTGACAATACCAGACAGTGACAGATTAGTGTGACTGCTCAAAACACAGGACACGTGTTTATTTTTTTTTTTTCTTTTTTTTTTTTTTTTTCAGTTACTTGGTCTTCATTGGTCAAAATATTTTTCCAATCTATTGGAAAGTCTTGTGCGCAGTAGCGTGATGATTTTGCTATAGTTTAAAATTTAACACTTGTATTTCAATAGATGAGTTCAGATATCTGTTTTGAGAAATATGAATAAATTTTAGATTTTCTGTTTCAAATAAAAAAATGCTTATTATTCACCATGGTGTCACTTTGAATTTGTACAGGAGAGCAAGAAAGCCCCTGCACCACTGATGAGACGCAATAGTGTTACGCCTCTTGCCAGTCCCGAACCAACTAAGAAGGCACGAATCAATAGCTTCGAGGATCTTGGTGCTGCTCTATCTGGTTGTGCAACTCAGGAGCCTCCTACTGTACAGGCTACACAGGTCCGTATATTCTAGGACTGGTTTCCAGTTGTTACCTATTTATAAGGGATGTGAGAATGGGAATCGGCAACTAATGTGAATAGCAGGCCTTTCGTTTGCTCTGCTGCTTTCCAAGAGTCCCAGGGAATGTGAAAATCTCTCTGGACTTGCTGTTCTGTCTATTCCCATAAGCTCTTTCCAGTTAATCTGCAGTATTTCATTTGTTCTTATTTCTATCTTCTGATCTGCACTTACCCTGCTTCCTTTTACCTTACAGCCTTTGCTAGGAAAGGCCTGTCTGTAAGTATTTCTGCCTTCATTTCTGTTTTGTGCTTTGACTAATGCTAAGGCATTGAACATAAAATTAATAAGTCTGGTTTGAGAGTCTATACTAACCTGCTTCCTTTGTAACACCTTGCTAATATCTTGTGAGCAATATAAAAGTCCAGCAGCTGGCTCAGGAAACAAAGAAAATAGAAAATGGACATGGAGCTGTTGCGCATAATGTTTGTGGGGTTTCTTTTTTTGGTTGAAGTAAAAATACTAATGACAACAGTTCCAAGTTAGTGCTCATTTTTTCTTTTAAACAATTTTCATGACTCAGCTGCTAAGTCACTGTGACAGGGGCACAGTAAATTTTTACTTTTTTTGATTGAGATATATATATATATATATATATATATATATATATATATATATATAAATATATATATATCTCTCAAATAATGAAATGCAAGGCTGCTGGAGTACATTGGGCCCTTGAAACCATTTGGATAGCTTCCACTTTACAAGCTAATTGATGGCACCAGCTCAGCAGTGGAGTGTTCTGTTTTGTTAGCAGCAAAACCCCTTTTAAAGGAAGGGGGAAGAAAAGCATCCAACCAGTGGAATGTTAATACATGTTTGTTGTTTCCATTATTGATTCGTATATGTTGGGCTCTGTGTAGAATGGGTGCCACCAAGTGTATGTCTAATGTCTGTGCAAAGAGTTAATGTAGTCCACTGATGATGTATGGACACCTATTTGGGTGAAGGCTCACCCACTGAATTAAATTTCCCTTTTCTTCCCCTCCTTTAAAGGCTATCAGTTGTCCATTACATCAGTGCCTTGTTTTTATTTCGAAGGTAATTGTTTAGGTGCATGCCAGTCACTCCTCCTGTGCCCCCCCTCTTTCTCCATGATGGAGGATGGCAGATTGTGCCCATTCACAGGTGTATGGGTTTTCCACCAGTCATCACCATTTTTATATGTACTGTTGGCATGCTTCGTGTTACCTCCATAGCAATTTTGGATTTCAATAAGCCCTTTGATGTCATGATGCCACCAAGTATTAGCAACTGAATTGGCCTTTGCAAACACAGTTTAAAACAAACAATTGTACAGTGTACTTTTAGCTCTTGTCTTCACACCTAATGTCAGAAATTAGCTTTTAGATCAACCTGTCTTCCCATGCTGCCTGTGTTCTATAATGCTAAAAACTGCACCTGTGACTGGGGGGGGGTTGGTGTTGCAGGTAAGTATGTAGGTGTTGTTTTCACTTCTATGGAACACAGGTAGACCTTTAGTTTCTCATTCTAGGTCCACTGTTTGATGTTGGTAACCCCCCCCCCCCCCCCCTTCCTTAATTGTAATGATAATACATCCCTTTTACTTGGGTCATAAAATTCCCAGTAATGATTTGCTTTTAGTATTTTAGCTACTTGTAGTCTCATTAGTCCATAATTGTGTGTGTTTGCCTGTTGCTGTGCCGTGCCATAAGCCTTTGTGTATCACCTGCACGTTCTACTTATTTAGCACCTATTGTTTTATCACCATGTGTAACAATGTGTATTTTCTATATTGCAGGGTGTAAATCATCCAGAGCAGCACTGACAGTTCTTAAAGGACAACACAATGATCAAGTGAACATCTGATTCCCCTTCTGCTGCATTCCATTTTCCATGTTGAACACATGCTTTACAATCTCCTTTTCACTGGACTCGAATATTTGAGCCTGCAGCTGCTTGTATGTCTGAACAAATTGAAATCAGACTAGAAATGGAGAAAGACACCAAAGTTAGTTTGCTACATCTCTTGGAAATGAAGAAGCCTCTGGTCATTTCAGCAGCGGGGCGCTGATCGTACACCGCCAAATCCTAATTTTTACTTATGGATTTTTTGTTTTTTTATTTTTTGTAGACTTAGTACAGTTCATTTTATTCTACGGTTTTAGAAAGTGTTAACCAAAACCGCAAAAAAACAATAAAAGGAAAAAAAACAAACTGTTGGATTAAATGTAAATGACTTAAAGGGGAAGATAACTTGTTATCTTCCAGTGCTCCCCATTCATCTTTTTGTTTCTTCGAGGTACCAAGTCCTGAAGCTGAGGTTTAGAGTATACTTACCAATCTGTCACCACGAAATTGATGTGATGTTTACACTGTGGTCTATGCTACAGTACTGGTGTTTTGGTTATATGTTTGGTTTGGTGCTTTTCTTTTTTTGATTGTACATAGATATAAATGTCTCTCGTAAGTCTGGTTGTCATGTATACTGCAGAAACATTTGTTCTGAATTTCACCAACAACTCATAAGACTGTCTACTCTTGGTTGTGCAACATGTTAAAATGTTTCTGGTGTCATGGATGCATCTTAGGTTAACCCCTTCACTTTGTTGAGGCATTTATAAGGGATTAATGAAGTCCTTTTACCAGGCTTGTGAAGTGAAGTGCGTTAACCTATATCAAGCTATGATAATTTATCCTTTTCTTGATCTATAATTGGCATCTAGTTGATGTGAATAACTGCACTGTGCACGACACTATTCCTCCTAGCACTGCTGTATTGAGAATGCCTGTCCATGTCTCCAAATGCCACAGTGTGGCTGTCGCTATAGTGTGCAGTAGATAAAACAGACTAATGCTTATTTTTCCAGAAGCTGCTAGAACAGTATTGTCCTGACTGCTTTCTACTGTCTGTAACTTGAATTTTCTTAAGCTGCTTCCGCTGCAAACGCCTTCTCTATTATCTCCTTGTGCACTTATTCACTTTATGGTTGTGAAGTGCAAGAATTGGCCATTTCATTGTTCCTCGGTGACTTTTATAAGCTGAGGAGCCTAATATTAGGGGTGGGGTGGGGGGGGGGGTTATATTTTTGTATAATTTCACTTTTATCTCAAAGATGCATGTTTGCACTTTAATACAAAGGTTAGGGCAGGGTTGTGAGAAGCAGATTTGCTCAGAATTTTTGGCATGGACTGATGTGAGCTCAAAAAAGTGTAACATTATATTTTATTCATAAAGTCTGGATGTGTCTGATGTGTGGATAGAGAGCAGCTTTTGTGGTTATCAGATGTGGATCTGACTGTAAAACAAGTCAACCTCAATTTTCTGCTGCGTGGGGATGGATTCATCAGGTTGCACAGTGGGACTTGGTTATCCTGTGGTGGTACTGTGGGATTTAAGATATTAGGAACCACATTAAACTGTTGCAGACCTGAAGACTAATATTGATTGTGATTTTTTTTTTTTTTTTTTGAGTGATTGTATTTGACTGGGACATATTGTTTTGGATTTTTTTATATATATATATAATTGTTTTTGGAATAGTTTAAATGTTTCTGAATCTCCAGTTTAATGTTGTATAGTAATGCAAAGAAAAACCGTTGTCACTTTACAAGTTTCATACAAATTATTGGATATGTGTGCATGCATGCATATATAGACTTTGGCTTGAGATCCTGATAAAGGTTTTTCATTTGACCTTTGCACTAGATATCATGCCTTAGTCTTAGATTTGTATGGGTCCAATACTCACTGTTTGTTTGCAAACAGGTGCACCCCTATAGGAACTGAATAAGCAGTCCTGTAGTAAATCATTTGCACAGTATCAAAAACTGAACCAACATGCTAAACAGAGTGAATTATTAGTACCTCTAATCAGAGAGCTTATTTATTGTGTTGGCGCAAACTAATGTGCTTTTGGGTGCTCTTGGTTACAGTTTATGTATTTGGTCTTACTGCGAAAGGTTAGAATGGCACCAATATAAAAGGCCAACATAGTTCCCCTTTTTTTTTTTTTTTTTTTTTTTTTTTTTGTCTGTAAGAATGGGTTTTTTTACCCGTTTTAGGTGTGCATATTTATTTATTTAATGTTGTAGATTCAGTGTAATTTGTTTTTCATTACATTTGAATTGTTAATTGTATTTTCACGTGTGTGTGTGTGTCTGGTAAAATTGCCTAAAGTAAAAGCTTCACCAGCTTATACAGGATAATATGCCTTTTGAAAATTTGTATATTTTGCAGTTGCTGGACCAATAAAAAAAATTCTTGTAGAATTAATCTTTTGTGTAGTCTATTCATGCTTTATTATATACTTTTTGTTTCATGTACAGCAGTCTGGTACATGATAAAGTGAAATGATAGAGAAAAAAAAATGCTTTTGAATTCTTGAGTTAGTGGGTTTTAAATATTCTGACAATTTACTGCTATTCTAATTGTGTCTTTAGTCAACCTTACCAACAATGTAAACTTACAAACACACAGCCTCAGGTCCATCCAGTTCAACCTAAGTATTTCCAAAACCCTGTATATTGTGTTCGATACAAATAGCTTTTTAGAAGCTTTCCTCATCAATCTATGCTCTCGACTGATACCACTATATAGGGAAGGGAGTTACACATTTTCACTGCTCTAACAGTAAAGAACCTCCTATGCTGTGTGGGTTTTTTTTTTCTTTTTTTTTTTTGTTTTTCATCCAATATTAGGTTGTGGGCATGTCTACATCAGCGTTATACCCCACTCCCAAAAGGCTTAATTTTTTTTAACTAGTGTCCTAGGGTGATGGACCTTATCTCTCTTATGAGGGAATTACTCTTGACTAGTTTATTATTTTACACAACTCTAATTCCAAAAGTTGGGACATTGTGTAAAATCTGCATAAAACAGAATGTAATGATTTACAAATCACAAATTTTATTCACAATAAAAATATCAAATGTTTAAACCGAGAGAATAAAAATGTTTAATTTCTTTAAAATGGTACAAGTTGATGGCAGCAACATGTCTCCAAAAATTTGGGGCAGGGCAACAAAAAGCTGGCTAAGTGAACAGGGCAACAAAAAGCTGGTACTAACAAGGAAAAGCTGGAAGAACATTTTGCAATTAATTGGGCTAAATGGCAAGAGGCCAGTACCATTAGTAATAAAAGGAAATGGCCGGACACTTCACTCTACTGTGATAATTTTATTAAAGGAGAATCGTGGAAAATGTCTATAGTACAAGTAGACAATACAACCAGGAGAAATGTTGAGGCATTTCACGCT